CATAAAAACCCTAGGAGAAAACATAGGCACAACCATTCAGGACATAGGCATAGGCAAGAATTTCATGACTAAAACACCAAAAGCATTGGCAACAAAAGCCAAAATAGACAAATGGGACCTAATCAAACTCCACAGCTCTGCGCAGCAAAAGAAACAATCATTAGATTGAACTGGCAACCAACAGAATGGGAAAAAATTTTTGCAATCTACCCATCTGACAAAGGGCTAATAACCAGAATCTACAAAGAACTAAAACAGATTTACAAGAAAAAAACAAACAAGCCCATTCAAAAGTGAGCGAAGGATGTGAACAGATACTTTACAAAAGAAGACATACATGAGGTCAACAAACACATGAAAAAATCCTCATTATCACTGGTCATTAGAGAAATGCAAATCAAAACCACATTGAGATACCACCTCATGCCAGTTAGAATGGCCATCATTAAAAAACCTGGAGACAACATGCTGGAGAAGATATGGAGAATCAGGAACACTTTTATACTGTTGGTGGGAGTGTAAATTAGTTCAACCATTGTGGGAGACAGTGTGGTGATTCCTCAAGGACCTAGAAATAGAAATTCCATTTGACCCAGCAATCCCATTACTGGGTATATATCCAAAGGATTACAAATCCTTCTACTATCAGGACACATGCACACGAATGTTCATTGCAGCACTGTTTACAATAGCAAAGGCCTGGAACCAACCCAAATGCCCATTGATGATGGACTGGACAGGGAAAATGTACAACATACACACCATGGAATGCCAAACAGCCATAAAAAACGATGAGTTTGTGTCCTTTGTAGGGACATGGATGAACCTGGAAACCGTCATTCTCAGCAAACTGACACAAGAACAGAAAATCAAACACCTCATGTTCTCACTCATATGGGTGTGTTGAACAATGAGAACACATGGACACAGGGAGGGGAGCATCACACTCTGGGGTCTGTTGGGGGGAACTAGGGGAGGGACAGGGGGGGGGGGGGAGTTGGGGAGCGACAACATGGGGAGAAATGTCAGATATAGGTGATGGGGAGGAAGGCAGCAAACCACATTACCACGTATGTACCTATGCAACAATCTTGCATGTTATTCACATGTACCGCAAATCCTAAAACTCAATAATATGTATATACATATAAATTTATTTGGAAAGTTCCCTTTCTACCTCTTTCTCCCCCCCCCAAAAAAAAAAGAGAGAGAGAGAGAAGAAAGGAAGAAACGAAGAAAGAGAAAGAAAGAAGGAAAGAAAGAAAAGAAAAAAGAAAAGTAAAAGAAAGAAAGAAAAGAAAGTTTCTTGTTCACAAACTACAGATCCTCTTTTTGCAGGATAGAAATCACTCCAGTTAGTAAAATAATAACAGTAACAACAACAGCCAAAAGGGAAGAGTATTTAAAATGCAGGAAGT